TGAATGAACTTTGGAAAAAAAAAAACAAAAACCAAAACAAAAACCGATTGCTGTTTATGAGTGAGTGAGAAAGAAAAGTAGGAAAAGTATTGATTTTCTAACCATCTTTTTTCATTTCTTTTTCCAAAGTATTATAATCAAGTTTTATCCTCATAATCAGACAAGTTTGCGTTATTGTTGGACAGTTGGATCTCTTTGTAAAACCTGAAACTATTAAGAAACAGACAAGGGGTTAGGTAAAAGCAAGAAAAGGAAACCAATCGCTAATCACAAGTGATTCTGCTTTTAATTAGCTAAACTATTTGGGCACTAGCAGTATATTATTATCTTTTCTAATACACCATTCAAACAACTTTTAAGAATTCAATTCATCTACCAAAAGTTGCCCACATCGGGGGATGCTCGTGTATCATGACCATCAAGTGATTCAAATACGAGACCGAGGAAGATAAGGGAAAGGGACAATGGTTGGAATTCCAGCATACTTTTTGTGGAATATACTTAAATGCGTTCGATGAGTGATACGTGCACACACCAACTCTTGTCCTAATCCGCTCTCATTGAATGGACCCTACATAGTCTAATTGTCTCATGACTCTCACATTATGTGCAAGAGTCACATTATGATAATATACAGTTGAAAAAAAGTTTGGTGTGCCTAGCATTATAGTCGAGTAATAAGCCATTTCAAAATACCGCGATAACAAAATTAGGGTTCATTTGGTATTCTACTTAAAAAATGAATTAAAAAATTATGAGCTTTTAAATATTGATTTTAGGATCTAAAAACTTGTTTGTTATTGAACTCGAAACTATTTTTAAGATCTAAAAAAATTGAAATTAAAATCAAAAAATCAAAAACCTTAGTTCCCAAATTGAAATTAACAAAAGAAAAGAAGAGAGAGAGAGAGAGAGAGACGAGGGAAGAAATTATTTTTGTAAAATCTCACCTTTTTTTTTTTTTCAATAATGAGGGTGTATAGAGTGTTTAAAATCTGTTTTTAAGTTTATAAAATTGAATCCAAGTAGAATAACACTCTCTCTATCTTGTACGAGAAAATTAATTGCACAAAACAAAGAACTATGTGAAAAGAAAGTATGACGACCACGACAAAGACGTCTTTTCATTTCTCTACTAGAAGATAAATGCAGGGTCGTTCAATATTAATATTGTCCTTTACATATCGGTGTCTTGCCTAATTCTATTAACAACTCAAGAAAAAAAAATTATTATTGTGCATATTTCTTGTGCTTTGGAAATTGGAATAGCAAGTCAAGTATAGATTTCGATCACTTTCACAGCAACTCATGAAGCCCATTTTGCACTGAATCTTAAGTTGCACCAACAAGGTTTAGTAAAATTTAAAAAGCAACATTGTCATACCAAAGCACTAACATAAACAGGATCACTTTTGTGTTGGTCCACCAACATATCTAAAGGTAGACTTCGGTCGGAGAAGACGGTGGAGGATTGGTGAGCATGTTAACGACTGCCCTCATTGTAGGTCTTGCGCAGCTGTCGTTCTCGACACACATCATTGCTATGTTGAACAAGTGCAGGACACCTTGCAATGGGTACCCGCTGAGCTTGGGATCTACCAGTGCCAATAGTACTGCTGGTGATGCAGGAGATGGCTTATAAGGGATTTTTGACGTGGTCTTCCTCACCCAACTTACTATGTTCATGTCCTCATCTTCCAAGTTCATCACCGGTTTCCTCCCAGTTATTAGCTCCAGCAGCACCACACCGAAACTGTACACGTCAATTTTCTCATCCACTTTCAGCGTATAACCGTACTCTGGGTGCACCATCACATAAGAAAGAAAAAATGTAGATACTAACAAGAAAACTGATTGAAATTCAATCCAATTAATAAGTTGAGTTGAAATTAGTTGATGATGAGTTAGGTTACGCACCTGGGGCGATGTAGCCAAAGGAACCAGCAATGGAAGACATGCAATCTGTAGGTCCTTGAAAGTACTTAGCGAGCCCAAAATCGGCAACATGAGCCTCCAAGTTGGAGTCCAACAAGATGTTATGGGACTTGACATCCCTGTGTATAATCAGAGGCGAGCAGTCATGGTGGAGATAGCACAGTCCCTTAGCGGCCTCCACAGCGATTTTATACCTCCTCTCCCACTGCAATTCCGCGGCATTTGGCCCATGCAATAGTTTCCCCAAGCTACCATTCGGCATGTACTCGTACAATAACAAGTTTGATTCATTGTTTGACATGTACCCCAGAAGCCTTACAATGTTTCGGTGCTTGATTTGTCCTAGTGTTTTAATTTCCGCTGAAAATCCATGATCCCTCTGTCCTCCTCTACTTGAGCCAACAAGCTGTTTGATTGCCACTTCAAGGCCGCTTGGCATGGTCCCGCGGTAGACAACCCCAGCACTCCCTTTGCCTATAATGTTCTCAAGCTTTAAGCACTGGAGCAAGTCCTCAACGTTGAGACGGAGCTGCTGGAACACTATGAGCCTCCAACCCTTAGATTTTTGGATCTTTCTAATCTTTGTGATTCTATAAACCTTGACAAGTAGGAATATCAGAAGGATGACAAGTAGGAGAACCAGAAGCGGTCCAATGATGATAAGAGCTAGCTTCGAAGGAGAACCAAACGCATTGTGCTCTCGAGCTCTCTGGTTAATCAAGGACGGGCATGAGACATTGTGACAGAGATAGGGATTTCCTTCAAACGACACGATGGCCAGAAACTGACTGGATTGTGGGATTGTTCCAGTGAAGTTGTTGTAAGAGAGATCCCAAGTTGTGAGGCTTGTGATGTAGGGAATTTCATCAGGTATTTGTCCCGTGAGTTGGTTTCTAGAGAAATTGACAAGATATATTGCTTCCAGCTTTGTTGTCCCTATTGGGATTTCACCAACCAAATTGTTTTGACTAAAATCAAGGAACGCTAGAGACGAACAGTTAGAAATTGAAGCTGGAATTTCACCACCCAGGTTGTTGATGCTGATGTTGATCTTCGATAACCATTTCAAATAAAAGATTTCCTTTGGTATTTTCCCATAGAGCTTGTTCATCTCCAGGGAGAGAGTTTTTAAGTTGTTAAGATTTCCAATTGCCCGTGGGATTACCCCGGAAATCTGGTTCCTAGTAAGCGTGAGGATTTCCAGTGAGTCCGCATACATTTGTGTTGGAAGTTGACCAGACAAGTAGTTGTCATTCAGCTCAATCATGACCACATTAGGCAAGTTGAAGATCCCAACAGGAACAGTCCCAGTGATTGTGTTTTTCATCATTCGGATTTTGACAAGGGACTTGCACTGGCCTAGTTCCTCCGGAATTGGCCCAAAGAAGTGATTGTCCATCAAAATCAATGTTTTCAGCCTCCCTCCACTGCAAAGATCCTGAGGAATCAACCCGGTCAGGTGGTTTCCGGTGACGTCCAAATCCACAAGCCTGCCGTTCCGGCCAAGGCTCTCTGGTAGCTCAAATGTAAAGTTGTTCTCCCATAGGTTAAGCACCTCCAGATGAGGAAGATGGCCGATAAAGTCAATGGAACCGTAAAGATTGTTCTTGTACAGGTTGAGAAGGCTAATGGTCTTCAGCTCTGAGAAACTTTCTGGTATTTCTCCTGTGAGTTTGTTGATCGAGAGATCCAAGAGCACGAGGCTGGCCATGCCTGAAAGTTCAGGTGGTATAAAACCGTTAAGGCGGTTAAATTGCAGAAACAGAGAGCGCAAATGTTTCAAAAGGCCGAGGCTCCTGGGAATGCTGCCGCTCAGGTTGCAGCTGGCCAAGTCCAGCACTTGCAGCCACGTCAGCGATCCCAACTCCGGTGGAATGCCGCCGTCAAAACTGTTATAGTACCCAACGTACAGCTCCTTGAGGTTCTTTAACCGAGCCAAGCTGGCCGGTAGCTTTCCGGTGAGACAATTACCGTTGAGTCCTAGATACTCCAGGCTCTGAATATTAGAATAATTCTCAGGAATCTCTCCCATGAAGTAATTTCCTCCCATTTGAAGATGTTTTAGCCTTTTACAGCTGGCCAGCTCGGGTGGCAGTTGGCCGGTAAAGTTATTGTTGTAGGCATCAAAAACCTCAAGCTCCGGCATCCCAAGGAAGATTTCTCCCGGGAACCGGCCTATGAAGATGTTGTTGGAGATGTTCAAGTGCTTTAGAGACGTCAGGTTGGCCATGGCTGCGGGAAGCCTCCCGGTTAGGTTGTTGCTAGCGATGGTGAGGTTGACGAGCTTGTTTAGAAGCCCAATCTCGGCTGGGACGGAGCCAAGCAAAGGCACGTTGGAGACGTTAAGAGAGACCACTCGGCTTTTTTGCTGGTCACATGAGACTCCAGAGAAAGAGCAGTAGTGGGCAGAGGGCTTCCAGTCCTCCAGCACCCCTGAAGTTTTGTGTCCTGTGTTCATGGCGTTCTTCAGCTTCAAAAGCGCGTCAAGGTCACCGCTGTAGGTACAGCATGGTGACGAGAACGAAAGGAAAATGAAACAGATGTGTAGGAGGAGGATATGAGAGGAAGCTGATCTTACCATCTTAATTTGTTTGTGTTCCTTCTTAATCCTACGGCTTTTAGGAGAATTATATTATTGGGGTCTCAGTGCTTCTCGTCTGGCACTTTTACAGTCAAGTCAATGTGCCAGTCCTTTATTGGACAGTGAGAGAGAGATTGCTGGAGATTTAAGATTTGTTTGGCGGACCTTGTTACATAATTTGAGGCTCTGCATTGGCAATTCGGTTTGTTGATGATATTTTGTTAATTGATGATCTGTTTTGGTTATAAAATAAGCTTTATTACCCTAATATATTTCGACATGAGACCATGTTTGAATTAAACACTGCTCAACTTCGTTCATAACTGCAAAGGTGGAAGTAAGAGGCAGCATGGAGTGCCTTGGGGTTCATGCTATTTTATTCAAGCTTAATAGTGAATCTCGAAGTGGAAATTTGATCGCCTTTGTTTTCGACTTTAAACTACCTCGTTCGCCTTAGAAGTGTGTAAGCGAATTTGATCAAGAGTGCCTCCAATCCAAAGATGAGTATACTCAAGAACTGGTTGTTGAAGCTGCTCTGGGGAGCTCTTGAAGCTGAGCCTGACTTTTAACACTATTGGTGCCGCTGGCCTTATCTCTAACTTGGGAGAGGAATTGTCTTTGGGCATCTTTGCCCCCATTGTATCCAAATAAAAGTACAAATTTACTGTTACAGGGCAGGGCAGTGAAAGTTTGGGTTTTCCCCATAAGTAAGAAGAGGCTTTTTTTAAGGGTCTGCTTGGAAGAAAAGTAGGGGCAAGTGGACTGTTTGCAGCCAACATTACAATTAACTGCCTTTTATGCTTCTGAAATCGTTCATCATGAAAGCACATATCTTCGTCTTTCATTATTTCTCTGGAAAAAAGATGACCGCAGATATGCAGCTTTATGAGTTACAATTACAAAAAATATCAAAAGTGCTACAATGCAGCAACGAAATGTACTCTTCAAAAATGATCTTTCAATCGGTAAGGATATAACAACGAACTGAATCTAGCTTGACACTTGAAGAGAATTTTCGTTTGATCTCTCTAATATGAAGATGTTGCCTTTATCATCCCTTCCGATCCTCATGGTTTCATCAAGATATCTGCAGTAACTGAATTCAGGAAAACATGCAATATGATATGTCTGCATCCAAAAGGCAACCCTCAAGCACAGGAAATAGAAAATTGATAACGCGGTATCAACTAATGTGATTTAGGATACGTAATCTCAAGCCAACCCTCTGGATTGAAGATTCCGAGCAGAAGATGGTAATTTTTCCGAAACACGTTCATCAACTAATGTGTTTCCAAACATAAACACAAATAAACTCAAAATTATGGCCGATAACAGCACCTCATTATGATGAAGCAAATGAAGCAATAGTTTGTGGGGGTGTGCGGGTGTGTGTGCAGTGAATGGCGCACATAATTTAAACTACCTGAACCGGAGTGATTGTGGAGTTGTCATATTTGATGTCAACTCTCTGTAGAATTTGAAAGCAGAAAAAATTTAAGAACATGATTCCAGTCAGATCAAAGAAAGGAATACAAAGGGTGAGCAAAAGGGCAGATGGGCTTTAACTGATTTGGATGCTTGCTTGAAGGAGGCCTCAATCGTCAGTCGTCCATTAAACAGATTCAATCCTCTCACATCGAACTTGATCACATTAACTGCTTGGCCCTCCGTTTCGGCACACGAGCAAATGCCCAATTGTAAAACACAACAAACCAAATCACCATATATTTCAAGAAAACATATTGGAATACTTAAAATGGTAAACCAAGTTGAACACTCTTTAAGTATCAACAAATTTTACAGTACTGTAAAATGTAACATTTGAATCGGAATTTGATCAAAAATCTCCGTACCTCAGCAACATTAATATTCTGCAGGAAATCACCCAAGGAGATGAAGTCTCTCAATCCTAGCTTTGTTCGTTTGGAGCCTAAAATTGTAATTGTGCTGTAAACAAGTTTCCAGCATCCACCCATCTTCCAATTATAGAAAGAATTGAAAACTTTCAAAAAGAAATCATAACTACCAATCTCAAGGCAACTTGAACAAAAAAAGAAAAAAGAATATACCTTTTCCAAATGTAGAATAGGATCTGGAGTAGGATTCTGAGACTCCAGCTGCTTCACCAGAGCCTCAATCTCAGCTTTCTTCGCAGATGGGACCCCAAAAATCCCTCTATTGATTCCTAGGATAAAAATTAGTGGCAACCCAATTCATTTTTTACTTCAAAATTTTCACCAAATTCTTCAAAGTAAGGTAATCTTAGAGGCTGGAGTTGAAAAGAACATACCTTCGAGTGCTTGGTAAAGCTCAGTCTTAATCTCAGTGGGTGTCTCGTCCCCAATAAGGCTCGAACTTTGCTCTGCAACTCTAACTGTGTAAGTGGTCCTAAACCCAAATGGGCACTGTCCAAATCTCGTGCTTTGAGTCCATTGATGTGTGGCTGAGAGAAAACTATGAGGAGCTACCGCCATGTTTGTGGGTCTATTTCTAAGCATTGGTGGAATTGCGTGGAAAGCTGGGATTGGTGGTTGGGCAAGCATGGTGCCCATGAAGCTAATCTCACTAAATGGCACAATATGTTCTCTTAATATTGCTTGGAAATCATCACCAAGCTCATGGCCATGGCAGGGAAGCTTGGAGGAAGCAGAGTAAATGGCTCTATCTAATTTACTGACGGAGGGCTCTTTTCTTTTAAGCTGTCCTTGTTTGCTTTCTTATTTTAATCCATTTTATATTTTACTTACTTTTATGGTAATAACTAACAAACAATAGGAAGTGTTTGTGTTTGAGGATAGGTTTAGATACGTGTGGTGTGGTTGAGACTTGACAGTTCCTAAGTCTTCATGTCAGGAGATAGAAAGAGAGAGAGACGTTTTTATTTATTTATTTATTTATTATATATATATATATTATTATTATTTATTTTTTTGTGGTTTGGTTTGTTTTTTTTAATTTTGTGGAACTCACACTCATGTAGTCCAAAAACATGGAAATATCGGGATATTATCGATATCGATAAAAATTGAATAAAAATCACGAAAATTATAAGAAAAACTTGAAAATTTTTATTGAAACTTTGGGGAATGTTTATTTAGTCAATTATCTATTATTTTAAATAAAAAAAATTAGAAGGAAATGCATTACATAATGGATTTAACTGATTTAAGTTGATTATACAGTGAGCTGGCAAACACTGTGAGTGTAGAAAATATGTAGTAATTAATGAAAAAAAGATTAAACACACCATAATCATTTATATATAATGATTTACTACAATATTTTACAGTTTATACATTGCATGGTAAGATACATGAGTGACTTAGTACCACATAGAGTTACTATGAGGTTCAAAATTTTCACTATCTTCATCGTCTCTATGTGAAGAGTAAGTGTATTGTGAAGAGTATTCATCAAATGATAAATCCCCAAAATAGTTTTGCATGTAATTGTTAACATGACACCCATATAAATATAAATATTTTAGTATATTATCACTAAAAGATAAGTGATATATGGTGGTTAAGGTGTTAGAAGAGTAAAATGGGAGGGGGTTCAAATCCCCTTTGTGTTTTTTTTTCCTCCCTTTTTTCCCTTTTTTTTTTTCCCTTTTTTTATATACTAGATTTTCGATATTTTAGCGATATTACATCGATATTTGACAAAATATTGCTGAAGTGTGAGCGAAATTATAGACATCGATATTTTTCGATATTATCGTCGATATTTATACGATATGTACATGGATATGTTATGAAATATCCGTTATTCGAAAAAACTGAAATATCCTTGATATTTCGTCGATATTATCGATATTTCAAACTATGCCCACACTCACAATCCTCCACGACGATAGCATTCACATAAAAATAAATAAATAATTAAAAAAAATAAAATTTTGGCTATACTCAATTGATCATTGTTTTTGAATTGGTTCTCATAGGTTTTGTTATGGTCGTAGTTTTTGTTTTTTGTCATGAGTTAAAAAAAAGATTGATAGTTATTTTAGTTTTATTACTGTTCTAGTTATGTTTTTATTAGATTGTTGATTGATCATCTATATATATAAAGCAAAAGGAAGAGAATGGTGAAACATTCAAAATACCAGAAAATACCCTTGGTTAATTCAAACATTAAAAATTGAAATTATTAATTAAATGAGGATAATATGGTAAATTCACATTTTTTTTCATATTAAAAAAATTAAAATTAAAAATAAAATAATATAATAGGTCCTACTTTTATGGAACATAACTACCCATGTTATCTTTTCTTAATTCTAAAAATAAAATCAATTGGCACATGCTCACACATGTGCCAAGGGGCTAGTTGTTATTAAAATACACAATGCATTGCAGTTTATATTTCTATAGAATTTGATTTTGTTATTGTTGCGGTCTTTTTTTTTTTTTTTTTTTTTGGGTTTTTTTTTTTTTTTTTTTTTTTGGGTGCAGTTTTTGGTTTTGTTTACATCATTTATATCTACATTGTTTTGTTATGTATAACTCTAGAACATGAGGGATTTGGTACAAATCTTGCGCGTATCGGTGTTAAATTTTTTTAATTATATAAAAAAAATTGTTGATTGTTAATAATATTGCATAACTGAACAAATACACAAAAACAAGGTTGGTATAGTGGTTTGCGAATGAGGCTTTCCTTCTTTGAGGGTTGTTTGTGCAAATAATCTCACGGGAGAATATTCGCTTCTAGATCCTTCAACCTTCGATCTTCCTTCTCTCTCTTCCTCGATTCCTGTAAAACAGATTGGAGTAAATAGACCACACCCGGG